ACGCCCTACGCATCCCCGGAGACTAACCACTTGGTGCATTTTAACTAATTGGGAACACTTTTGATTGGATGGGTTATGGCCCAGAAATGCCATCTTGGAGAAAATTTGAGGGGTTTCTCTGTGCCTTTATGATGCAGTCGGACAGGTAGATCAACCTATAATGTAATTTGAGTTACAACCCAACTTCTGAGAAATTAAGAGCTCTGTTTAACTGGCTTAAAGCAAGCGCTTACATAAATTCTAAATGTAGTAGAATTAACCCAATGTCTTTCAAGTTAACGTAATGTGAATTAATAACCTTTGGTAAATGAAAGCTTGTTTAAATTTGTTGGTTTGATTTAAAATAGTCTTCTTGTCAGAGTTGTCAGTATTTGCATATGATGCAGGCACGCAGCCTGGGTTTACTAGTCAAATAAGTCCATGTTGTGTGTTAAATTCGTCAGCAAAATAATAGCTTTAAAGGGTGACTAGTTTTGTATAATGTCTCATGAGGTTTTCATGGGTAATCTGAATATAATTGTTGGAAACAAATGGTTTAAATAGATAAAAGTGGGTACAATAACTGTTTTATGGTCTGTATACTTGGGGGAAAAAACAGCTTCGAAATTCTTTTTGGTAACAATCTTGAGTTTTGCCAAGTTAAGTTAAATGATAAAAATCTAAGTATCTGGGTCATTTTTGGATTGAATGGAACACTGAAACATTGCTAAATGTACCTAAGTTATTTACTTTTGGCTTCTTATTGTAAAGAGGCTAAAAGTGTTTGGGTCTATTAAAAAGCATGCCTTGTGTTTTATTGTGTAGTGGCATGTTTCTAGAAATGATGAAGTGTTTAGAATGCTGGTATAAAAGACAATTCGTAATTGCTTACCTTTTCAGTGTTTACTAGGGTCTGTTAAGGTTTAAAAGTTCTAATTAACATATATAATTAAAGCTACTTGAAATTAATAAGCAAAACAGCTCTGTATACAAGGAAGTTAAAATGTGTGTTTTTAGTAAAGAGGGTATAAAGAATGGAAATATTTTTGTTTGATGGGTTAAGAAAGATAAATTTGTCCTAACGTACTAGAAAGGAAAAAAGAAAGAATTTGGGACAAATTCTGAAGGCAAAAAGAAAGTTGTAGAAGTTTTGTGAAGGAGAAATTCTGAAAGGAGTTTTATACCTGGTCAAGTACACTAAGATTAAAGTATCCAATTAAGTAAATGAGTTTTAATGTTAAAAGTAAGCTGTTGCAGAAATTAAAATTTGGTTTTCTCTCAAAGGATAAATTTCTTGAACTTTTGGTCTGCTCTTGATAAAGAGGTTATAAAAGGTGTTCCTTTGAGTAAGTCTACCTAAAAGACAAACCTGTTTTGTTAAAATAATGACTGAGGTCACTCTTAAGATTTTTGACTGTTTCTCATCACTTTGAATGGATACCTGAGCATTGTTCGACAGTGAGTGTTGTTTGAAAAAGTGTTTTAAAATCTTTTGGTATTTTTGACAAGCTTCTCCCTCAAAAATATTCAAGTCCTGAATAGCAGGGTTTCTTTCGAAAATACTAAACTAATTAGGCTTATTTTGCCTATTAAATTACATGGGAAGCATTGTCAAATAAGCGATGACAACTTTCTTAGGTGGTATTATGTGGGTAAATGCTATTAATATAGGTGTCTTAAAATTATATAGCATGCCTAAAATTCTGATCTGTCCTGGTTATTGGTCATAATTCTAGCTATTATCTAGAAGAGTTGTATGTCACAGAAATAGCTAAGTTTCTTTGTCAATTGCCCTTTGAGTCTTTCGTCTATTTGCAGATAGTTGCTGTTTTACTCTGATGCTTTTTGCTTTTGCAAATATGTTTCGTCTTCAAAGAAATTCCCGGAAAGGATTATGACACAAGATCTAAACTACAGGTTTCTGATAAACTTTCAGATTGTAAAACTGAACTGGGTAAGAAATTACAGAATTCTAACAGAAACTAAGCTCATAGATCTGCTAACAGAAGATTAAACTTAATAATCAATTATACAGGACTGTGTGAAATGATGAGGATGATTATAACTTTTTTATGACTTCTATTTGAGATATTGTTGAGTTTTGATGTGTTGTTTTGTTTTCTCATATTTAAGGAAATCTTTTTCTCTTTTGTCTTATGCTAACTATGTCTTATAGCAATTTAGTGAAATTATAATTTTATGAGCAGAACTGAAACATTTATCTTTTTCTCCCTACCTGATCCCTCCAGAGTTTGGAAACTCTCTGAGTAAGTATGGTTATTTCGTGGCAATGTTTGCATAAGTTCAATAAGAATCTGTTCTCCTTATAACAGGACACATTGGTTATGTTACCAAGTCTTTGACTGGAATGTCATATTTGAGAAACATACAGGCTCAGATATGATAAGACAGCTTTTCAGGAACAAAGATTGGACTTTCTGGAAATAAAGCCACTTGGAAATATTGGCCTGGTACCTTGTTTACAGAGATTCTGGCAATCTTACCTGGTAAGTAAGGAAGTTTGCTTATCTGGCAGGTGCAAGGAACCTCAGAATAATTTGGGGTACCTCGAGAAGAGAGAAATCCACCCAAATCTGTAGGTACTGCAGGCAAAATCTGACGGCAAGTCCTTGGCTTGGCTTTTCTGGCCTCGAGAGGCCTTTACAGTTCAATCTGAGATTCTTCATAAAAAATTCCAGCAAAGCAGATTTAAAAGAGCCTGTATAATCAATTGCTATTCTTGCTGCACTTATGTAAATACCTGGATCAAGTTTTATTAAAACTACACTTATTTTGCAAACCAGTTAATCTTAATTTGGCTATCTTTTGTAAAAATGAGGGTGATTTTAGAGAGAAAAATTATGTTTCAGTACAAGCTATAGTACACATTCATGGATATTAGATTCTAGCTCTTCTCTTCTACAAGATTCATCTATTACTAATCATAATGTCTCCTTGTGGCCATCTGTCTCTGACACCTGGGAGTTCCCTGGCCACAATCAAACCTTTTCCTTCAATACTACTGCCCAAATACTAACTAGGTTTGTCTTGTCACAGGTAGATCATAAACAAATTCCAAAGGTAAAGTCCCCAACTTATCGATACACACAGGATAGACTATATCAAATTTGGGACGAATATATTTGGCTCACTCCTACTAGTGGTCAACTCAGTCAAAAGGCCACTCTACGTTGGGAACAAACCAATCACACCTGTGATACATGGCCTAATAGCGCCCGACCTATGGGAAAAATTCCCCATTATATGTGTTCTCATATCATAGCCTTAAGAAATACTAATTGTTTTGGGACTGACTGGGACAGACGGCCCGGCGTATGTTGGTTAGCCCCTAGTGGCACTCAGTGGTTATGTGGCTCCAACGTATGGCCTTGGCTGCCACCTGGAAGGATTGGACGATGTACCCTAGGTTTCGTCTGGATGCAAGGTAGAACTACATTTACTATATCTCCTCCTGCTAACCTACCCAACCTGCAACAGCGCTGGACTCGTTCTGTCTCCTACTGGTATGACCACCTTGCCTCAATTTTCCTTCTCCAGTTAAGAATAGAAAGTGTCACCTGGCACATGGAAGCTCTAAACAAATTTACTATAAAGGCATTAAATGATATACAACATAGTCTTTTGCTGCTTGATTTAGAAGTATCCCAAATGCATAAGGCAGTCCTCCAAAACCGAATGGCACTGGATGTCTTGACAGCAGCACAGGGTGGCACTTGTGCCTTTATAGAAACTGAATGTTGTGTTTATATTCCTGACTACCATCAAAATATCTCTGGCTATCTATCTGAAATGAGCCACCAAATTAAATCCATGTCTGACCCTACCCTATCTCTAAATGATTGGTTGAACTTATGGTCAGGTCCAGGTTTCTGGACTATCAAAACTTTATTCACTGGGTTAATCATATTGCTTGTATTTCTTATTATAATTTGTTGTCTATTTCATTTTTTTGTCTTCTGCATGTCAACAAAGTTTCACCTCCTGCACCAGCTCTCATCAAATGCTTCTCTCGTCTCCAGAGGATCTGTATACCTTGTCAGCCTTGGACTCCACAAGTGCAACCTTCCGGTCCACTGAACCTCCTACCTGTACCCATGGCCCCATTTAGGGACAGCTCTATGACCTTGTACAGCTGGAAGTAGTTACAGAAGACTGACCACCGTCCATATCCCCAAAAGATTTCGGGGCCAAATGGGTTCAGGGGGGGTTTATGATAAGGATTATCTTAGGCTGGTTAATTTTAAAACTGCAGATGAGAAGCAGGCTCTGAGGAGTGGAATTTGCTTGCCCTTTGATGAGAGATATTTGCATTTGTGAAGGAAGTCTCCATGCCTCCCTCTCTGCACCAGGAGGAAGGGGGGATGGCCTTATCTCTGGAAACTCTTAATGGGGAAGGCAAGGCTTTTAGTTGTTTACTGTCTGGCAACCTCATGTAACTGACCCCCCACCCAACATCTTCCTTTGTCTTTAGCTGAAGATAGTATTTAGGGTGGTGGCTTCTGGCCTTTACTTAATCCGAGTTGATTCTTATCTAAAAGTTATAGGACCACCCAATAGCCAGAACCCACCTGCACTGATACCATTTTAACTTTTTTACATATTCTTTCCTTTATCTTGTAAAGAGATAACTCACATACCTATGCCTTAAATTTAGCCTTACTCTCCACCCATGTTTGCAGCAGCAGCTGCCCATGCCAGCAGCATCTCTGACTGCCTGTGGGTCCTGTCCCCATGCAGCAGCACCTCTGACTGCCCATGGGTCCTGTCCCCATGCTATTCCACACTATTCTCTAAATAAAAGAGCACTACCGCCAGATCTTGAGAGTCCAAGAAATCTTTCTTTCGACTCCTTGGCTCACTGACCCTGCATCACCCACAGCAGTCAATAGCCAGCAAAGCCAGACAGTAAGACCCCAATCTCAGTTGGGCTGAGTCTGAAGGATGCTTATAGCAGTATGGCCCCAGCGCCAGACCTCACTCCTCCAGGGAGGGCTGTGTACCTTAGGGTGGCTCCCGCTTGGACAGCTGAGAAGCTCCGATTCTCCCAAAGGTGGCTTTTTTCCTCTCCAGCAGGAATTTCTGCCTCTTCTGCCTTCGTCAGGACTGTCCCTTGTCGTGGGGGTTCTTCTTATCCAGTTTTCAGTTTTCAATCCAGGGTAATTCTTCCAAAAATTGTTGTAACCTGGTTGTGTTCGTGGGAGGAGGCGAGTTCAACGTCTGCTCACATCACCATCTTGATGAGATCTAGATGATTATATTTTAAAAACATATTTTATGCCTATAAGTTTATTAGAATGAAATGTAATGTGATCAAATGTGTTATCACTAATTTTTAAAAATATTTTGGTAATCAAACTGTTTCTCTCTATATAATTGTGTATATGTAACATTGCAAGTTGGCACTAACTGTAGTCCACTAGATCTTTATTAGTTATTAACATACCACAGATTAAGATTTTAAGTTTTGAGAACTTCCATGTAGTGTTTGACCGATAACATATTTACATCAGTAGAGAAAAAAACAATTAAAGCCACAGAATCCAGAGTGGAAAGAGAATTTGACATCAGTTAGCCCTCTCACCTAACGGAAGGACCCTCTGAAACATGCTCATGCATCATGGATCAGGGTCTGGTTTATTGTTCTCCACGGGAAGACTAATCACTGGCTGTGTTTTGTGTTTGTAAAAAGTATTGTATTGACTGTGGCCATCGCTAATGAAAAATGTGCTTCCTGAGGGCTCACAAAAATCAAAGATCCATACTTGGTCCCCCTTCACAAGGTACAAAGTCTTATTTAAACTTAACTCTTTATTAGTCATGCCAATGCAAATTTAAATGGTCATAATTCATAAATGTGCTCTGGAAATGATCAATTTCTTGCTACAGAGCATGTCTAAACTACAATCTGAACATATATGAGAAAATAAGTGGTTGATAATCCAAGTAACTCAGCCTGTTTATTTCATGGCTACATCTAATTCAATATCAGAAATGTTATCTCAAAAATTAAATAAAGCTAAAATGAATATGTAAGTTTTCTGTAAGGTATTTGCAATTTTGCCAAGCTTGGGGGAAAATATTAGCAATATTATATTTCATTTCACAGAAATTTCATGTCCAGCAGGTGTTCTAGAAAATGTTACTTTTTATGGAGTGCCCATTTAGCAAAAAATGGAACAACCGTATATGGAAATAAGCACTTGTACAAGATGGGCAGATGGTGAAGCAAGACCAGAAATATTACCAGAAGCATAATTTTATAAAAGAACCACTGCAATATACACCTCATTTCAGACAATTTTGTATATTTTGAGTTGTAATATACATTTTAATATTAAAAACATTAATATTAAATTAATATTAAAAAATACATTTAGGGGCCGGCCCGGTGGTGTAGTGGTTGAGTTCACGCACTCCGCTTTGGCAGCCCGGGGTTTGGACCCAGCACTGCTGGTCAGACTATGCTGTGGCAGCGTCCCAGATAAAGTAGAGGAGGACGGACACAGGTGTTGGCTCAGCGACAATCTTCCTCAAGCAAAAAGAGGAGGATTGGAAACTGATGTTAGCTCAGGACCAATCTTCCTCACACACACACACACACACAAATATATATATATATACATTTAAAAATATACTAAAATATACTGTATACTGATTCATTTAGATAAAATGAAAACCCCTGAAGGTATTTGTTTAAGAGTGTTAACAAATAGGAACACTTTTCAATTATTTTGTACCCTCCATTCCCCATGCATTTTCAGGGGTGTTTATTAGATACTATTTCTTAAGTGTGCTTTCAAAAGTAATGTCCTTATATTAACTTGATCAATTGTTTTCTCTTCCCTTAAAAAATAATTCAAAATGATAAAAAGTGAAAGTGTACTAAAATGCACTTTCAGAAAAGAAACGTTTTTGCTCCTTAACTTCCTTATAATGAAATGCAGCTGGAAGAGAGAGTGCAAGGTGGGAACAGGCGCAATACCATTCAGGGTCTTTTTTGTAAGATACATTAAAGGACTCTGGATTTTGTCCTAAGGGCAATAGATTTCAAGAGAAGATTTACAATGCAGGGGATGTCTGGCCAAATTTACAAGCAAGGAAGATCACTCTTGTGGCTCTGAGGATAACTCAACTGGAGGCTCAGAGGCCGTTAGGAGGTTCACAGAGTGACCCAGACAAGAGGTGGTTAATGATCCCACTGCACCCTATGCTTTCCTATAACACTGTGATTGCTTGGCTATTTGCCTTCCCCACCTGCATAAGACTGTACATCCAGTAAAGTGAGAGGCCTCATGTGTTTTCATCTCTGTTGTATCACAAAACGAGTACTAAGTGATCAATACAACTTATGATTAATGATTAAATGATAAGAAAATAAATGAATAAACCACACAGATGCTAAACTTAATGCAAATACCCAATAAGCATCACACTCTATAGCTCAGGCAAGCTTCCAGCCTTGCTCTCCCAAGCACCTGCAACCGCAGACACACACCACCATATTCAGCCACATTTGAGAACTTAAATACAGCAATTACATAATTCTCGAGTGGAAAAAATGAAGAAGATGATGCGTAAGAAATAGTAGTTTAGATAATTTCAGATGGTGTTACCAGAATAAGTTAGTTACTAACTGGAGGCTTGGAATGCGAAGGGTGGAGGAGAGGCCAGGTTTGTATCATTCATTCATTTACTCGACTAACAAACATTGGTTGAGCACCCACTATACATTAGGCACTGTGTTCCTCGAACATCTATAAACAACGTGGTCCCTGTGCTCTGGACTCACTGTTCACATCCCAGTTTTGCCAGGCGGTGTGTGATCTTGTGCAAGTTACTTAGGGACTCTGTGCCCTCATCCTCAGTCTGTAAAATGGAGCTAAAGATAGTACCTATCCCATAGAGCCATTGTGGGCATTAAATGCTATATGTAAAGTGCTTGCTACATAGTCAGTGCTCAAAAATATAAGCTATTTTTATTATGTTAAATTTGGAATTTGTAATTTGGGGATTATCTTTACTTTGTATCCTAAAATGTGAAAGCTGGGTGTATTAGCCTCATTTCCAGGATGGGTGTGGGGAATAGGTTTGAATGAACAAATTTTACGCATGTACTATATGCCAGACACAAGATTAAGTGTTTTCTATACATGATTTTATTTAGAAGACAGAGTTCTGGAGTCAGACAAAACTGGCTTGAATCCTCAAGCTCTTACCAGCTTCATCAAATTGTCAAATCTCCCCAAGGCTCAGTTTCCTCATCTATAAAGTGGGGATGATGATGATGGATGATGATAATATTGATAATGATGATAACAGCTACCTTGCAAGGTTGCTGTGAGGATTAAAGGCAGCAGTGTCTGTAGAGACCCTGGCTCATAGCAGTGCTCATTAGACGTGAGCTGCTATTATCTTTTCCCACAAAGTCACCAGGAGTAGGCACTAATATCCTTATCTAACAGACAAGGTTATTGAGTCTTAAAAAGTTAAATGAGTGATTTGAGGACAAATATCTAGTAAAATTGGGAAATTGAAGATTCAAGCCCAAGACTGTGTCGCTCCAAAGATTCTATTCTTTTAGCTACGTTACTCTACTTCTCATTGCTTTTAGAAAGTTGTTAAGATTATAAATAAGTATTATCATATAATAGAGTTGGCATTTAAGATTGATGTAACTATAATTCTTCATAAGAAAAAGCTTAGAATCTTTGGAATGTTTACAAGTTTTATAATACTCGTATATACTTGTAAGAAAAGACAAAGAATTGTATAATTTTATATTAATATGCGGCAAATAATGAAATAAGACTCAGGGGTCCTAAGCTTTTGTTTCCTACTGAAGATAATTGCACCAATTATGGCCAGTTTTATAGCCCGTTTTTGAAATGTTCCCACAGTAGGGTCTTAAAAATTATAGGTCAAGCAACAATACTACAGTAGGGGTTCTAACCAGACATGAAGGTTTGCAAGCAAGACTTATTTTATTTCTGCTTATCCCACTTAAGGGAACATTTCATAATACCAACAAAAAGCAAATAACCAAACAAAAAACAGTAAAAACCTGACCCAAAACTTTAAGAACAGAATTAGGTTGATTTTCATTCTTTATAGAGACAACTTAGTGGGGAATAAAGCAATAGTGAGAAAAATAGAATGAATAGAAAAACTAAAATGGGGAAAACATAGCTTGAATAGAAAACATACAGAAATTGGGGGGAGGGAGTAAATAAAATACATAAAAGAGACTGAGTGCTTTTTTATTTTAGTAAAACGCAACCACATGAGAGGCTCTCATATGATTATGATCTAAACCCAAAAGTCAGATTGAATCCTCATGTAATTTTAAGCTCTAATAGGTCCTGATAAACTAAACTTCTCATGACATACTTGTGATTCCTTTAGCAGAAAAGTTTGTTTTCAAGATACAAAGAACTACAAACATACAAATTTTTATAAAAACATTTCAGGGGCCAGCCTGGTGGCACACCAGCTAAGCTCGCACATTCTGCTTCGGCGGCTCAGGGTTCACCAGTTCAGATCCCGGGTGTGGACCTACACACCGCTTGTCAGGCCACGCTGTGGCAGGCGTCTGACATATAAAGTAGAGGAAGGTGAGCACAGATGTTAGCTCAGGGCTCATCTTCCTCAAAAAATAAATAAATAAATAAACATTTCACAAATTTAATGCATTAATCATGCACTCCCAGAGTCTTAATAGTTCATGTTTTGGGCTGCCAAGTCGATTTGTCTAGCTTTATGCCCTTCCTCACCCAAGTGACAGTCCCATATTTCTACTGCATATCTCACCTCCTCAAACTCAACCAATCCAAAATCAAACTAATTTTCCATCAGACTCTTCATCCATCTTGAGATGGAGGGTCCTCTGAAGTCTAATTGCCTGTGGGCCATCTGCTCATGCCACCAGCTCTAAAACAGGCTAGTCCATTAATACTTTCTTGACTGATTTCCCTGCGACTGGCCAATTCTCTCTATTCTTTTAGATCCCTTTTTTAGATCCCAGGTACTATCATTTCAAACCAAAATCTGAGAAA